CTTTAAAGTTGATACAAGTAATTTACCCAATAATGATGATGATTTATAAGTTATTGCTTTCAACTGCTTTAGACAATGTATCATAATTCTGAATTAAAAAGCAGGCATGATATACTTTGTGTTTTAAAATTTGGTGAGTCAAGAATGAGCTATTAAATTATAGACACATTCTTTTTACATATTTCCTTTATAAAGTTGCATAAGAATTCTAAGTTACAAAGACAGTGAAGACCAAGGAATGGTGTGTAAAATTTTATTTGGGTGGGAAAGTATTTTCTATTTTGGAACTGGTATAACTTATGGTGAACTAGTGAGCTCTTAAGAAAAGCAATGAATTTTTTTCAACTCTTTCTGTCCAAAGACCATTAATCATATTGATATCAAATGGCTGGTGCTATCCTGCTAATAACCCAGCTAAAATAATTGGTTTGATAACTTATTTTGGTTATAAAATTGGTCACTGGTTAATTAAATTAATATATAGGTAGTTCTAAAACTACTGATAAATGTAATAAGCACCTTTTCTGTATAAAATAAAAGGCATTGTTTTCAGTGGAAAACACAGACTAGTATAAGACATATTCCCAACTTTAAGGACTGAAAATTTATTTAGAGAGACAAAGCATATATCCCTGAAAGCCAAATAATGTTATATTGAAGTCTTTAAGAAAGTAGTGCAATACAACCTAAGACACACATAAATAAGAGGTCAATCCTACTCCCATAGATTTTCCTATACCCCAAGGACTGCCTGAAAATTTCACTCAGAAAACATAATGCAAGACAATAAGACTGACATTATAAGGATAATCTAAATTCACCAAAAGTTATTAAACAAAACCTCACTATTTTATTAAAAGTAATAATGAGCTATTGGTTCTTTTCAATGTTATGATTATAGTAGTTAATATAGACCTATACTGCCTAATAAAGTGGTCATGAACCACATGTAACCACTGAGCTTTAGAAATGTGGCTACTCCAAGGTAAGGTGTATAAATAAGTGTAAAATATGTTTGGGTTTTGAAGACAGTATGAAAAAGTGAATGTAAAATATTTCATTTATATTTTCATATTGATTATGAGTTTATATGATAATATTTTAGACAGCTCAGTATAATGAAATCATTAAAATTAATTTTATCTGTTTTACTTTTTACTATGGCAGGTAGAATATTTAAAATTATATATATGGCTTGTATTATATTTCTATTCGGCTGCACTACTATAAAATTCTACTTGAATTTAGAGATGAGAACTTTCTGTAAGGTTATAAAATTTTAAGAAAATGTCCATGTGAAAAGGATCTTGTTTCTAAAATGTGACTGAATACATCAACCCTCTAGCCTCTGCTTATGAACATGTAGTATCACTTTAAAATCAGTGTTTTTAATAAATTGCAATCCTGATCAGATGTTTTTATATGAACCTAAAAGTTTAGGCTCCAAATCATTTCTTCCCACTGACTCTAGTTATTTACTTTGAAATTACACAAAATAACAGCACTCAAATGCTTAATATTCATATTTTTTTAGCAAAATGCAGAGTAGTCTTTTATTGGAAAATCTAGACCCTACACATTGAACTGAAGAAGTCCAATTACATTGTCCGAATAATTAGTTACTCATTTCTTGGTAGTGTCTGCTAAAACTCTTTTTACACCTTACCCCTTCTTTGTGTTTACCTGGTGGTATTATGTTGCTTAGCATTTGGGCAGCAGTTAACATACATACTCATATAATGCTATCCAGTCAGGTCTTTGAAATTTTTACATAGAAATTGTGTTATTTAAAATTTCATGTCATAAAAAAAAACTCCTTGAAATGTCTATTTTGCCTCTCAATTATTAGTCATTTGTTCACTTATTTTTTCAGGAATTGTGTACTTAAGAATATTTACTATGTACCAGGAATGACTCTAGGTTGAACATGAGAAGCTCATCTCCATGGGATGTGTAGGGAACACATCACACTGACTATATCTGTTGTATGCCTTTTGTGTCTCCAAATAATTCCTGATTTAAAAAGAAACTGCACTCAGCAAACTAAATGCAAGGCTGTGAGATCACTTTCTACATTACAGTAGATTAATTAATCATTAGTTTTATTCTTCAGAATTATGTAACTTTACCAAACTGGAATTTAAAATCCTACACATTCACCATTACAGTTTTATGATTTTGTCAAATCCTTTGGTAAAAATAAACACTAATTATATCAATAAGCATTTTTTAATCCTTTGAGCCCATAGATTTCACAGGAGGAGAGGCTTGAACTGAGCCAATGGATGAGTGGGATTTTGAGAGAAGACAAATAAGATCCAAGATTTATAGAGCATGTATTTATATTAGATGAATGCATCAAATTTTGAGATAAAATAATAGTAGCCAACATTTATTAAGCTTTTCTTGTATACCAGATACCATTCTAACATATTTGATCCTAGCAACTGCCCTGTGAGGTAGAAATTCATCTTATCTCCATGTTACAAATAAAGAACCTGAGGCTTAATGAAGATAAATAACTTGTCTAAGTTCCCTCAGCTAGTAAATGGTAGAGCCCAGATTCAGTCCATCCATTCTCATTCAGAAGTTTATGTTCTTCACCAGAAGATGAAAAGCATTCTAAGGGTCGTGAGGGAGGCATAACAGAAGATCACCAAATGGCCTACAAAGAAAGCTTTATATTAGGAACACCTAAATAAGGCTGGAAAGTCTTTGGGGCAAGATTAGGGGAAGCCTTCACTGCTATGCTGGAGTTTGGACTTTATTCTATTTTTACCCAGTAGATGCAGAAGTTTCCTCAGAAAATAAATAGCGTAATGAAAGAAAGATTTTTGAAACATACTAAGCTGATCATTGTGCACAGGCTGCAACTGGTTTGGCTGAAAGGAGATTTTACATCTGTTCAAAGCTTATTGCTTTAGTTTTGTGTGAAGACCAGGAAAGATGGAGTCTCTGGGAATACAAAGCAAGTGGATCATAGCAAGTCAATTGAAACTTACTTGATATTTATTATATTAGAGTGAAATGTTCAAGAGTAACATGACTTACATTTTATGCCTGAATGACTGAAAGAAATGGTTTTCTATTAACAGAACTAGGGAAGTTATTGTTGTAAGTAGTTTGGGGGAAAAGTAATGAACTTCATTCTACACTCGTCAAACTTGAAGTGAAAATTCACCTGGCCATTGGAGAGTCTAGGTGGGAATTCAAAAGTGAGATAACAGCTTAGGGTGAAGATTTGGAAGATATAAAAATCATTACATTTATAGAAAAAATTCTATCTTAAATTCATAGAAGTTAAATTCATGGAGAGATGAGCTACAAAAGCAGCAGTTGGAGTAAAACAGGTAAATCTGACTGCAAATAGACCTATGTTCTTCTGACATCCAAGTACACAATTTATTTTAAAGTGTTTATCATTATATATTCACAAAATCACATAGAACATAGTTGCTCTCATTAAATATTAGCAAATGTGAACAACCATTTAATAACGTAAAATATCACCAAATTGTTTTTGGATAGTTATGATTCTAAAGGATGTTAATCTTTTTACTTTTGCCATCATCTAAATAATGTATGTTTTAAAGTACAGTAGTTGCTAATCCAGAAATTGAAACATTCTTTAAGTATGTTTATAGTAGTACAAATCTATACTGGTTCAAGTAACTTTTACAATATTTAAAATGGCAAATGAGCATTAGGATTTAAAAACTGTACCATAATAGGTCTTAAATTTATCTCATAAATCCTTTCCGGGGTGTGTAGAAGTACCTAGAAGATATGTTGTTATTCCTGTTGCTTATGAGAATCATGTCCTCATGAATAGCTTTTGATTATTCACTTCTTCAATAGTAACAGATTACTTTTAGATATTTAATTTTTCCTTTACACTTATCCGTATTGTCCCCAGAAGTTGTCAACTAATAAAAATTCAACCTCTGCCTGGGAATGTGACTGGGGAAAGTACATTCATCAAGTGAGGACCCAACTTGATGAATGTAATCATCCTGGCATAAGACACTGGGAGGGTCTTCCTGAATTGATTTTACAAAAGGAAAAAGTTTTAGATCTGAAAGGAAATCAGATTTCTGTATGTCGTTTATGGGTTTGCAAAAGCTATCACATATTAAATATTTTCTAATGTTTAATGGAAAGAAATACAGAATAAAGATCGAGAGAGTATCCATGTATATTATTAACAGAATTTTAATCTAATAACTAAATCTTGCCTACCTTTTTTGAATATATATTTTATTTTTCATGTATTTTCACTTATCACTCCTTTTCAGGAGTTTTGTTTAGAAAATCAAGGGATTTAAGTTTCGGCTGGTCATTATCAATTCAAAAGTAAAGAAACTTTGATGTTTCTAAGGTTGAAAAGCATAGATTCTTTATATGAAATATGTTGGGTTCATTCATTTGAATTTACTTGCACCAACAAACAAAACTGTTCCTAAGGCAAGCTAATGGCATTGTTTGTCTTAGAAGAAAGTGTGCTTGTCAATTTTGCTTGCTAAAAATGTCATTTAAAACATATGAGCAGATTGCCATGTAGTTTTTCTAAGGATAAGATGACAATTCTACATTTCTACCTGAGGTTACTGTTATTTGATGAATGAGGCAATTTCTGATAAGACATATTTACCCAAATGTATTTATGTCAGAATATTTGAAATACAATCAAATTTGAGTTTAGAATATTAAAATTTAGCCCATTCAAATGTATATGTAAATTGACTGTTGTTAATATCACCACATGATGAATTGTACTATCTTGCATGTATGTTCAGCTCTGGTGATGTTAAATGTTTCTTCTTATTTGCATCCTCAGGTACTTTTCCAGTTGTATTTCAAAACCTTTCATAAAACATAATATGGAAACATAATGCATGTGATTAGTTTGGCAGCAGGAGGTTGAATAAATGTATTTCTTTTGGTTTATGTTTCTAATAAAAAGTAATTTTGATTTAAATTAGCACTATCTTTTTTTTTAGGCCTCCATTCCTTTGAAGGAATTGGAGCAGTTTAACTCAGATATACAAAAATTGCTTGAACCACTGGAGGCTGAAATTCAGCAGGGGGTGAATCTGAAAGAGGAAGACTTCAATAAAGATATGGTAAATTGGTTGTGATAAAAGTGTGAATGAACTAGGAGTGAAAATAAATATTTGGAAGGACATTAGATAAGTCTCCAACTGAATTTTCAGGACACATTTTACACATTGTATGATTCTAATGATTTTTGTAAATGCAGAGTATTCTTGTTGACCTTTTATTACAAATGCCGAATTACTATGGTATGATAATATAGGAGCACTTATGGTTTCTAATAAATAGCCTGGCAGTTTTCTTTTGACCAATCCTACTTTTGAACTTATCAAGGGCAAAATGTAATTAGAAAAAAGAGTCAAATAATAAAATGAACTAAAAATTTAATAAAATACTCAACTATCATAGATAACTGACATTTTGTATCAGCAATGTTTTTGGTAGTATAACATTTATTTCAATGAAGGGGCAATAATGCATAATATGAACATTATTTATTACAATTTCCCACAAAGTTGTTTTACCAAATGGTTGATTAGTTAGTACATTATATGTCTAAAATGTGCAGAAATTCATGCTGCTTATTTCATGGGAGTAAAGAAATATGACCATATGGGCTATTCCCAATCTCAGAATATTCTCCTTCAATCCCAACTAATTTCAAAATATATGCTACATTTCTCTTTGGCTTGAATATTTTTACATCACATCCTTATATACTGACTTTTTTTCTCTCTTCACCCTTCTTTCACAATTTTTCTGTCTTCCACTGCCATCACCTCTGTGGCATTCTTAAACTATATATTTATCAGAGCTAGAGACTTCTCAGACAATGCTTGAAAGTGACATCAGAAAGCAATATATAAATTTTAGTTAATAAATATGTGAAGCAATAGGAAAACTATTCCTACCAATATTAGTTCCCACTTCCTGGAGCTGCCTCAATCTATACTCCCATGTATGGGGTTTTAGTGCCCTTTCCAACTCAGCTTGTGGAAAGAAAGACAAGAAGAGGCTTTCCAAGAAGCTGAGTTACAACAATGTCTACTTCGGGTCAAAGAAGAAACCAGAGGGAACCGAGATGAAAAAAAGTACTGCTTACCTCTTGGGCTGACCACCAACTCTGCCCTAAAGCACTCAACTGGTATAGGGAAAGAAGTAAAGTGTTTTCTTTTTTCTTTTTTATTTTTTGTTTTTGTCCTCAGCCCTAAAAAATGCTAGAGACTTTCAAAACACATTTTAAAATAAGTCTTTTACAGACTATAAGTATATAATATGTCTATTTATGTTAAGTATATAATGTGTCTATATGATGCTATACATTTCTTCAGATTATTTTTTGACTAGTCTCTGACAGAAGTAATCCCATTCCCCTCATATAAAATGAATAAGTCCTGAGTTGTATGTTGACATTTATGTATGCATTATAGATATAAATATATAATATCTAATTCCATGAATAGTAATACATACACACATAAAAATACATGTGACTTTTGAAATTTGCTTATTATTTGTTTTCCTTATCTCATCAGTGTACCTTGAGTACCATTACATGATGAGACACATTGATAGAAAGTTTGCAGTCTAAGTTGAAAGAAAACTAAAGGTGGAAAATCACATGGTCATATATGTAACTATATTAGACCAGCATTTATTCAAAACATTTTATTTCTATGTCAAGGAAGTTAATATATTGTTTCTGTAGTCTAAAGGACCAAAATGTCCATTGAAAATGTTTAAAGCTATTTTCTAATCCATATCTTAATATGTATTTGATTGTATTTATTTAAAATTGACAGGCGTATATGACATTTTAGAAATTATTTGATGATAATTTAACACATCATTTCTACTAATATCCTGATATTTCTGCTAATATTTGGCATATAGTTTTCAGAAATAGGAATTATTAGGTAGGAATTAGTGTATATTTAAAACAAAATGTTTTCATGTAATTGTATGTTAATATATTCAGATTTATTGTTATGTCACAATCACTAATATGCATCTGTATTTCTTTATGGATCAGTTAACATAAATGATAAAATTGGTTCATTTCTCTAATTTTTTAATTTCTAGAACTACATTAAAAATCAAAGCCAAAAGAATACTTTCACAGCAATTCATGACTGGTCTGAGATTATGAGGTACTACACTCCCCCATCTTTCTACACATGCCCATAAAGATGTGTTCTTTAGAACTAGATGGGAGGAAACTTACTTATTCTAAAACCGAAAGTACAAAATATAAAAGAAAGGCTAGGAGCACAGTATCTTACAATAACATTCCATGAAAGTTTTAAATTGAATTTTTTGTGTGTGTTTAAACATCATGTTTTGTTATCTCTGTTAACAATGTACAGCTTTTTAAAAACCAAAATGAGGACTGTACTTGTTGTTTTTAATCAGAATGAAGACAATGAGGGTACTGTAAAAGAATTGTTGCAAAGAGGAGACAACTTACAACAAAGAATCACAGATGAGAGAAAGCGAGAGGAAATAAAGATAAAACAGCAGCTGTTACAGACAAAACATAATGCTCTCAAGGTATCAGAGCTAAAATTATAATATACCTTGCCTGTATTCTTTTTAATATGTAGGGTAAAACATATTGTGCATTAATAAAATCTGCTTAAGACTCTTAGTCATCAGAAATTCACATTTTCTGTTCAATGTGTGTGCTTTATTTAACATTTTTGAGTGGTGTTTAATTGTGAAAGATGTGTTGCTTAAAAATTATGGCTTTTTAAAGATAGATTTTTAAGCAGTAATTGAAAGATGGAAATGCATTCGTGGGACTTAGACATTTAATTTTCTAATATGCTTTATTTTCATAAGCTACTTTTTTATGTTGAAAAAAACCTGCCTAACTGCAAGAATAACCAATTTACATGTATCCATTATTCCTGCTTCCTTTACTTAATTGATTTTATTTGCATTAGGTCAGAATTTTTGGTAACCTGATACTTGTTTCTAAGACGTATTCTTTTTATTTATTTATTTTTAAAACTTTATTATGCCTTTAAGAAAGTCACTCTTTGCAACTAAGTATCTACAGAAGTCGAATTTCATTTATATTTCCTCAAAAACAATCTTAGTGCCCTTGAATAAGAACTGCTACTTTGATGTCCAGCAGTGTAGGATATGGCTTCAAGTACCCACATGTCTCATCTGGATTGTGCAGAAAGAGCAGGATAAACTTAATTTTTCCATTATAATATCTAGGAAGTTATTGAGATGATACTAGACATGTGGAAAGTTTTGTGAAAGAACCCTTTTTTTGTATATGCTTTTCAATAATCACTATTTGCATGCATGGCTGATTTTCTAATACACTAATTGCTGAGCTTTTCATTGTAAATCACTCTTTGGAGCTTTTTAGTTATGAAAGTAGATCCACCTAGCAGGTAGATGGAGTCTGCTATCTACATGCAAATAAGAGAATAAAACCTTTCCCCTATAGTCAACCAAATACACACTGCTGAGAATGTAATTATACAATATTGTACCTGCAAGGAATCCACAAGGAAAGTCTAATTGGCCAGCAGGTGTTCTGAAGGTAACTGCTGATAAATATAGTAAACAGAAAAGGTCTCGTTCTCAAGGGAGTGCAAAAGCAAACCATAATATATCTAGAAAATCGGAAAGCTATGTAACTGACACCCTTCCAACTGTGACCAAGCTTTCAGAAGTATCTATACTGGTCAAATAATGGTATGCATCCTACTGAACAGCAGTGTTTAATGGTTATCTGGCATTCCTCTAAAGAAATCTACATGACATCTCTAAATATTTTGCATATTATACATTGCTTTGTGCTTAGGAAACAAAAGATGCTTCAGATTTATGACCACCAAGCCCTTTCTCTTGGCAAAAATGTGAGTTGGGTCACAAATAAGGCATGGCTCAACCCTTATTCATGTGGCTGTATCTTATTACCTTTGAAAAAAGCAGCATTTGATCTAACTTATCAGGAGGTTTGAAAATTCAACATAAAACAAAGTATAGCAATTTTGAAATCTCCAATTTCAAACAAACTGGATAATAAAATGTAGATCATTCTTGCAAATATATGCTATAAATGATGAAAATCATCAACTCTCTTTGCCAAACCAATCTATACCAACATTCAATAACTTCTTAAACCAGTCAAGTGGATCCAGCTCCATTCCTTATGAAATATTTAAGGAAGGACAAAACTTTCTAATGCAATACAATTTTAAGAAGTTCTGTGATATTTATTATCTACTTTAGCTTGGGTTAAACCTGTGAATAAAACTCTAATTGCTACTTTCTGTAGAAATGAAAGCTGCATGCAGAGCTTGTTTATGTTCCCATTAATTAGAAAATGGCATTTTGACTAGTTCTATTGATTAGAGAAGATATTGTATGTGCTTGTAAAGAGCATGATGATTGATTTTCCCCATTGGTGATTTATTAAATTAGTTACTCTTATTTATCTCATCACATTGATTTGAAAACATGTACTTACTGTTTTCTTTTTTTTTCATATAGTTAATTGTTTTGTATTTGGAGCATGATTTGGTATAGTAAGATAAATTTGACTATGGAAGCATTGAAAGGAGAAGCATTTTTCTAACATATAATTTTATTATGAGTTATGCTCACAAATATGTGAACAATGGTGGCTCTTCTACACATATAGCTTGGAACAGTTTATAAGACAACTAAAATGACTTTCTAATCATAAAATATTTTGGTGTATGAAATTCTTACATAGGCATTTCTAAAAACATGAATGTACGTTGCTTGACTACATAAAGTTTTGTTGGTAAGCCCAAGGCTAAAGATGTATATTTTAGAATTTCACCTATTTTAAGTAAAATACAAATTGAATAGGTTTGTGAGTTTGTGTCTAGTTAAGTCAATTGCATTCATACATTAAACTCTTTCACATAAACTACACAAAAATTAACTCATTAAGAGTCAACTAAATGTGACAAGATTTATAAGCAAGTTTGAACATGCTAAGAGAAAATAAGTGTGTTATTTAGCTTTCTTAGGTTCTTATACATGGGTCCTGCCTCATGAATACACAATTTAATTTTGTCTTTGTGTATTTTGCATTTAAATGTGAATTTAACATAAGTTCTATGAAAAGATGTAGGACGCAAATTATTTTGATAAATTACTACAGCCAGAAGTGCACTATACCTATATATTGATATTTTAATAATATCTGCACCATGAACAGGATTTGAGGTCTCAAAGAAGAAAAAAGGCTCTAGAAATTTCTCATCAGTGGTATCAGTACAAGAGGCAGGCTGATGATCTCCTGAAATGCTTGGATGACATTGAAAAAAAATTAGCCAGCCTACCTGAACCCAGAGATGAAAGAAAAGTAAAGGTAATGTTGTTTTAGAATGTCAATACCAGATTTTATTATACAGTTTAGTTAACTTAACCTGTGAAGACCATATTTAAAATGTTGATGTTCTTGTTTCTCTTAGTGTTCTTTTTCATTTGATGCATTTCCTTGTATTGTGTGTTTTCAGTAAATGTATTGTATTAAGTGTTATTCAATTGACATAATGTTGAATGAATAAAATGTTTTACTTTTAGACTATGTAAAATGATTTAAGAAATGTGATGTGTTTTCGGGTAAAATTGTAATTGACTTTGTGTATCTTTGTTCCAGATGAACTAATGACTTATCGGTATATGGACGACTTCTTACTCATGTTAGCACATTCATTTCATCAGAGCATCTCCACACATCAGTGTTAAATCTCTATAGATTTACTTGCATATTGTCTAAATATGTTTTTCTGTTATTATTTTATACTTTTTATTTTGCTTCATTCTCTGTTGATTTCCTCAAACCTTTAAAAAGAAATAACTTATTCACTTACCCTCTAAATTGTGTTCTATATGGATGGTCCCTAATAAATAATGAATAATCACTCCAAATTGATTCAAATCCCAAGACACCAGAGGAATTTAGAAGAAAGAAAATATTAGACCAATTTTAATATTTTCTTAATTAGAATATCTAAAACTGAGCATTCAAATGATAACTGAAATAATATTGGATTATTGAGTGAGGATGACATTCATACTTTCCATATTCGTAAATTTCCAAGGATGACAATAAAGGGGCAACAGCCTTTGAAATTTCTGAGAGAAGTATTTGCTGCTTGCAAGTCGGTTGATGTGGTTAGCTAACTGCCCTGGGCCCTGTATTGGTTTTGCTCAATAGGAAATTGATCGGGAATTGCAGAAGAAGAAAGAGGAGCTGAATGCAGTACGTAGGCAAGCTGAGGGCTTGTCTGAGGATGGGGCCGCAATGGCAGTGGAGCCAACTCAGATCCAGCTCAGCAAGCGCTGGCGGGAAATTGAGAGCAAATTTGCTCAGTTTCGAAGACTCAACTTTGCACAAATTGTGAGTTGTTACTGGCAAACCCACGTATGTGTTTGCAACTACTACTCTATTAACAGAGGCCTACTAATAAAAAAGAGGCAAAAAATCTGGGTGCAATTTTAAACTTCTAATGTACATTCTGAAAGTGAGTATTTTCCCTCACTTTGGGCTTCTGTAACACTAGTGCTTAATTTTGCAGATTAAAGCCACAAGAAATTAACAGATAATAGGAAAACCCCCTTATCAAAAATGAAAGTACATCTTAATTTCTTTTGCTACATCATTCATAACATTGGCAATGTTAATTTGTCAATTTATCATACATTTACTTCACTTCAATGTCTAATCCAAAAAATATGTATTGCTTTCCTGAGATCATCCCATGCTGATTTTACTTTCTTAATGTATACACGATAAATAATAAATATTTTGTGGTACATCTTATGTCAACCTGGATAAGCCATTATCTCATTGACTTAAAGAATAGTAGCTTAGTCCTCACACCTCGCTTAACTACTTAGTGGGTTACAATGGTCATGAAAGAACTGGATGCTTAGTAAGATGTTTGGTAATTGATTGCAGATTGAACAATATCAAATAATGTTATTATTGAAATGTTACCAGCCAAAACAAAAAGGAATGACTGCTCTTCTTTCAAACAACTGAATGGAAAGTGTTTGATTCTCTCTTTAAAAAGGCAATTCAAAATTGTTAGCTTGATCTTAGTTCTTTATTTGTATGTAATAGGCTATAAACCATAGAGGTTTTCTGACAGGTACATTTTTGTTCCTATTATTAACTCTTGTAAAATGAAGAGGAATGACTGTCATCTGTAATTACACAAGAAAGGACTCCTCATTAAAACCAGGATGTCAAAGTCTGGAAAATAAGACTTTATAGTTACGTTAGGTTGAATTATATGATACAAATAGTTATTCAACCATTTTGCCCTACATAAATAACAATTACATGGGGTTCAGCCCATATGTGAGATTTCTTGGGAACTTCTTCTGTGATATTGTCAGTTACATTTAATTTGGTGTATATTTTTAAAATGTTAGTGGCAATTACCATAACTTTATTTTATAAACATATAAGGGAAATACATTGCATATTATTGTGACTACTTTTTATACTTCAAGAAAATTCATAAGTACACGGTTTTCTATTAAATCAAATACCTTAAAATTTAATAGCAGCTGAATATTCTGAGCAATTGGAATAATATAAGCAATATTGAAACCGTATTGCATATGAAGTCTAATTCCACCTGGTTGAATGTTTCAGCCTATTATCCTTCATATTAGATGTTATGAACATAAAGTGTCAATAACTCAGCCTTATACTAACAGCATGCCTGTGTCTGCAGATGCAAAATGAAGTGAAAGATTAAGGCGATCATAAAGAAAATTCTGGTAAAATAGTTTCACCTCAATTTAATGGATCATTCAAGAAGAGGTCTTTGCTTTGAATTATCTGACTACTAACTCATTTCTCCATTTCAATTTTCCCCATATCTTCACACACCCAATATACAAGTTTAAAATTTGTTACAAACTAATCAAGTTACTAATGCTTTATACCTAAATAGGCACAGGATCAAAAATCTCCATAAACCGCTTACTTAAAATGCCATTGTGTCCCTATTCATAGCAGGCTCTTCCAACAAATATTTGTACAACACAATAATGATTGGTGAAATAAAAGAAGCATATGTGAACCAGAATAATTTTTTTAAATGTAGTAAAATTCTAGGATATATTTTCCTCTTAACTATTTTTTCTTTATTTTTGTATCTTAAAGATCCAAAATTCAGAATGTGATGGGGGCAATTTATGTGTTAACTCTTAATTATCCATGTTAATAATCACAATCTGTATGAAGAATAATCAATTTAATATTACAGTTATAATTGGCATTGGATTTTAATTAGAACTGAAGGATGATTGATAGATGATAAGTCAGTATATAGGTAGGTAAGTAGGAAGGTAGGTAGATGGATGTAGAAATATTCAAAATGTATCTTTATACTTTTTTTTTTTTGAGGCGGAGTTTCGCTCTTGTTACCCAGGCTGGAGTGCAATGGCACAATCTTGGCTCACTGCAACCTCTGCCTCCCGGGTTCAAGCAATTCTCCTGCCTCAGCCTCCCACGTAGCTGGGATTACAGGCACATGCCACCATGCCCAGCTATTTTTTTGTATTTTTAGTAGAGATGGGGTTTCACCATGGCCAGGATGGTCTCGATCTCTTGACCTCGTGATTCACCCGCCTCGGCCTCCCAAAGTGGTGGGATTACAGGCGTGAGCCACCGTGCCTGGCCCCTGTATCTTTATACTTTACCAATTGTTAATGCGTTTTAAAACTAATTTCACTGTGGCCACTGATTAGAGTTATCTTTCCCAATTCTTATGCACTGGAGTCATTTGAGGTAGTCACGATAAGCAGCTTAATGAAAAGTAGTATTTGATATAACTACAATGATTCTGAGGTAGCACAACTTGCCATAGCTTAAAATTTCTTACTTCCCCCTGTATTTTCCATCTCTATTTCTTTCATTTTTATTTTCGCAACTCTCCCTTTCTGTTTTTTCTTAATATAAACTCTAGGTTTAAAGTTAATCTTTCATGTCTACAGCAACAATTCGAAATAGTAAGCAGTATTCTTAAATTGCTTAGTATGTGAAAGCTGAGTGATTGCAAAATGAAAAATTAAATTTCCTTATTTCACAGATAAAAACTCAAAGAAGTGCTAAACATTGCGTAAAATTAAGGCATTTAGGGGACTCTGTCCATGTCAGAGCTATATATGGTAGTAGTAAAGCTCAGAAAAGGACTGAGACTTTGAGGGAACAATCAAGAGGTAACACCCCGCCACACAGGAATGCAAACCACAGCATAAGCATAAGAGGAGGTGTCTGAAAATTATGGTCCTCATGACAAACCTGGAGATAATAAAGAAGAGACACAAGACTGGGAGAAAGCAGGTAAAAATTTTACCAGATACTCACAATGAGGAAACTCCTGCCTTAGGAATTCCAAACATTTCGAATATATTTCCTGTTGGTTTAGAAACCAGGCTTCTCACTTAAGACCAAGCACAGACCATAAACTGAGGACAAGGAACATTCCTATAGGATGTATTATCACAGCAGTGTCATTTGGTAAAATCAACTACTGGATATACAGCCTTAAATATGAATCCCAGTGATTTTGTCTGTGTGCTGTATGATCATGGATAAACCTCTTTGGGTCTCATTTACTTCATCTGTACAATGGAGTCAAGGATGTTTGTGAAACACCTGCTGTGTTATGTAGGCTGAATGCATCAAAGTTTTCTTCTCTCCTTTCTGTATGTATGTTAACATTGGAAAATAGACATACTATTTAATTTTTAAAATGTTTTTAAGTCATTAAGAGAATTAAGTTCAGGTATGTACCACTTGTTTAAAATATTAACAACAGATATTTTGTTAAGTGAAAATTACAAATTTGATTCCATAATATATAAGCAGATACTTTTTTCTAGATTCACAGAATAAACACAGGAAATACTACACAAATCTGATGACCGTCAAGGAAGGGCATGATTTTCCATAAACTGCCCCATAGATCTATATCTGGATTCTTCTACCTAAAGGTAGATTGAACTAAGAAAACAAAGGCACTGGAAACTCCATAGTGGACAATTTTTTCTACTTTTTTATGCTTCATTGTAGCAATTGGAAAAAAACCTCAGAGGGCCCAGGCAGTTTCAACCACACATTTGTATAATGAAGATACCACCAAAACCCCCAAGGCTCCTGTGAAGCTCCTAAGGAAGATAAGCTTACAAACTAAAATTATGATTATGAAAAAAAATTATAAGCAATGTTATCAGCCAAATATAAGGAGAATGTATACCTGAAGAATTTAGAGATAAGAGGATAATCACCAAAGGACATTAATTTTTAATGTTTAAAAATAAAAATTAAATGGACATTTTTTTCCAGTAAGAATAGAGCATTTTGCAAAGGAAAGAGGAAGATTTGAAAAAACAAAGTCTAGAAATCAAAATATAATTACTAAAATCAAAACTCAACTTTTCAAATAGTGGATTAATTATAAAAGAAAAATAACATGTTAATTGAAAGATGCCAAGGAAGCTTTTGTTCTGCTGAAAGTAGTAGAGGATGTGGAGAATAGAATAAATAGCTCAAACATCTGCATGAAAGAAGTTTCTGGTTGAAAAAATGGGGATTCTAGGGAAGATACAATATTTTTATATTAATGACTGATATTTAATAAAATGGAATAAATTTAAAATTTAATAAATTCTCAAATTCAATAAAGGTCAACCAATGTGGAAAAAATAAAGTCTACCAGCTAGCTCTGAATAAAACTCAGAGCATCAGTAACCAAAAATGTATCATAAAGGTTACTAAGGACAAAAGAACACTTACAGGATGACAATATTGACTGCAGACTTTTCATCCACAATAGATGTTAGAAGACAATGGAATAATATCTTTAAAATGCTAGGCACATTTTGAAATACCAAGTAAAATATGATTCAAGAATTAAGGCAAAATATTTTCAGATACACAACTACTTCACATACACAAAAAATAAGAATTTCTTGCCTATAGATTTTTGCTAAAATAATTGCTAAGCAATATACTTGTGTAAAAGAAAATGAAAGTGGAAGGAGAGAGCTATGTAAAACTGTATAAAATTGTTTTCTCTATGTAAATAAGAACATTTATTTAAAAAAAGCTTGTAATTAACTTCTAACATGTCATTGCCACCAAGGAAAACACAGTATACTAGGAGAATGTAGAAGTAATTTGACTGCTCCTGTGCAAAGAAAGGTACAATAAATGTCAGACTTATTCTTGATAATGTAACAAATACAAGGCTTGTGCTTAATGTGTTCAATACAAATTATTACCACCTATAATGTTTCTAGAAAGCAAAAAAGTGCTAAACCTATTAAATATACATACATGTACCACCTCTCCAACAAGAGGAGCAAAAAATACAA